GAGCTGTGGCTTCACAGCTGCTTCTCTCTGCTCCTCTGCAAGTGCTTCATGTAGCTGAGGAGAAGAGGGGAAGCTTCTTAGCACCCCATTCTGTGGAGCAGCTCAGCCCTGTTCCCCACAGCAGTAATGCTTCCTGTCTCCCAGTGTTGCACACAGGGCATTGTGGATGGATGGGATTCCTTTTCCCCAGCATGTGCTGCCTGCAGAGTCTCTGCTGCTGGTCAGGTTTTACCCAGAGGCAGAGCCTCCCCAGCCCAGCAGCTCTGTGCCCTGCAGGGTGGAGCAGCCCATCACTGGGTCTGTGCCACATCCACAGGCATCTCCTCACGCTTCCCTCCTAAGTCATCCCTCAAAACCACATCTCTCCAGCCACTTTTCCCTGGTTTCCTAACCCACTTGCCCAACCATTCACAGAATGGGTTGGGTTGGAAGGGGCTGTGAAGGTATCTCATTCCAAGCCCCTGCCATGGGCAGGGACACCTTCCACTTGGCATTTCTTGCACTGTCTTCCCCTCCCAGCTCCTCCTTGTTCTGACCTTGCTGAAATAAATAGTTGGATGCTGCTCCAACATATTTCCCAGCATGTTTCTTCGTTCTTTTCCCTGCTCCACCCTTTTCACCACTATCTTGTGTTTGGTAAAGACCTTAAGCTGCTCTGGGAGCAAGTGGTGCTTGGGGGGGTTCCAGCCTGGCTGGTGTCTCTGGGCAGCTCAGAGCTGGGGTTGGCTCTGCTGTGAAAGCAACAGTTGTTTTGGGGTGCAAGAAAGGAGACACCTCTGTGTTGTAGAGTCAGAATCACAGAATATTCAGAGCTGGAAGGGACCCCCAAGGATCATCAGTCCAACTCCTGCCCTGCCCAGGACACCCCAACAATTCACCCTGTGCCTGAGCGCACTGGCCAAACGCTCCCTGAGCTCTGCCAGCCTTGGGGCTGTGACCACATCCTTTGGATGCTCTCTAATAGCTTAGCTTTAGACTTGAGGAAGAAATGCCCTGGCTTGGATCCCAAGCTGAGATTTGGGAAAGCAGAGGTCAAGGTCTGTGGGCACAGGAGGGCAGGGACATGTCCCACAGTGTCCAGGCTGCTGGGGGGTCCCTGGAGCAGGAGGGACAGACCCAGTGCTGTCTCCAGCCAGACCCACTCTGGTGGGTGACAGTGCCCACCAGCTGTGGGCTATGGGGCTGTGCTGCTTGATGCAAAGAGCAGCTCCCAACGGGATTTTCTATGGTTTTCCTCACTCTGCTGAGCCAGGCACAGGTTATCATCCTCAGTGAGCACAGACTGGGGAAGATGCTGCAGTTGCGCTGCAGAACCCTCTTGGCAGCACTGACAGAGCTGAGCCATGTGCTGGCACACACCATCCCCAGCTCACTTTGCAGAAGACCCTCGTGTGTGTCAGCAGCTGGCAAAGCTCCCCTGGCCTGCTGTCCCAGTCCTTCCCCTCTCATCCTTCCACTTGGATCCGCTCCAGCCACTCTGGGGTGGAATTTCCCCCTGAGCCTTGACCCTCTTGGAGGCTGTAACCTTGTTTCGGGGACTATTGGCAGAGAGGCTCTGTCCCAGCTTGGGGCATCTCATGCAGCATCATGAGATCATCATCCTGAGATTCCGTGTGCTATGCCAGGAGCAGGCACTGCCCCCATGTTTTGGCATCAGGATGGTGCTGGACTGGCCCATCAGCAAGGCCAGGCTCAGTGTGAGCTTTCACACCTGTGACTGTTTCATGGTGATCATCATCTGGATGTCCAGGGCTGCTCTGCATCCCTGGAAGGAGGAGCAGTGCCCTCGTGCAGGCACTTCCCACCCTGCACTCCCAGGTGTTTGGTCTCAATTTTCCAGCTCCAACATAACAATATGATCATTTCCCACTAGCACTTGTCTCCCTAGAGCAGCTGAGGTGACATTCAGGGCAGTGTCCTTGGCCACTGTGGTGTCTGGACCTGCTGCAGGGTCTTATCCGCAGGGCTGGACCAGTGTTGCTCTCACATCCATCCTTGGGCTCAGAGAGGAGGAAGAAGCTCAAGCTGGGAATTCCACCACTCCATGGGGTGGATTTGGGCATGTGTGGGTGATGTGACAGCAGAGGTGTGGTCACCTGTGGTGCAGGGACAGTCCTCACCACTGAGCAAACCTGTGGGGTGGGAGGTGTTGGCTCTGGTCCCTTTTGGGGAGCTCCCAGGGAATTCTCTACTGGGGAGTGGGAGTTTGGCTGCACCCTGTGTGCATGGAGTATTCCCCTTCCTGGAGCCCTAGGCTCAGCAGGGAGCCTGAGTTTTCTTTAGAGACCTTCAGAAACCCAGTAAATGTTCTCCCAGAAGTAAACCCCAAAGCTCCAATGATGTTTCCTTTGTTCCTCAGGGGCTTGAGTCCAGCAAATGACAGTGGAGCCAAAAAGAAGAAAAAGAAACCCAAAAGGAAGAAAGAGAAAGGAGGAGACCAGCCTGACCAGGCTCAGGACCAGCCAGTGAAGGTGACAGCCCCTTCCTGGAATTGCAGCCCTGCACAGCAGCCAGCTCCATCCCGAACCTCCCCAGT